TCATTTCCCCACCTAACTGATTTCATCTCTTTGTCAAAAATCAATTGCCCATAAATAGATGGGCTGATTTCCGGGTTCTCAATTCTATTCCATTGATCTATGTGTCTGTCATTGTACCAGTACCATGCTGTCTTGACTACCACGGCAGTGTAGTAGGATTTTAAGTCAGGGACTCCTGCTTTTTATTGGTTGCCATTTTCTTGGTATATTTATCCCCATCTTTTTATTATTAGTCTTTTTTATCTTCATTTTTCAAGTGTGTCTCTTGTAGATAACAAATTGATGGAATTTTTAAATCTAATCTGCTACTCTATTTCTTTTCAGTAGTGTATGAAAGGCAAGGTTTTATTGCTATCATTTTGTTGAGTTCCTTTTGGTGTTGTTCGTAGTTACTTTGGGACAACCTGCTTTCTGTGGAATCTTTGTAGGAAGGACATCTCTCAGTGTTTCCTGCAATGCTGGTCTTGTTTTTACAAAGCCCCTAAAGTTCTGTTTTTCTGGAAATATCTTGATCTCTCCTTCATATTTGATGGATAATTTTGTTAGGTAGATTATTCTTGGTTGACCTTTGTGTTCTTTGAGTGTTTGATATATGTCCTTCCAATGTCTTCTTGCTTGCATGGTTTCTACTGCATAATTGGCACTTCATCTTATCTGTTCTCCCTTATAGGTTACTCTTTGTTTCTCCCTTGCTGCTTTCAGAATTATCTCAGTATCTTTGGTTCTGGCAAATTTGACTATGATATGCCTTGGTGTTTTTCTTTTGGGGGTCTATTATATATGGTGTTCGCTCAGCTTCCTGAATATATATTCTCTCATTCTTCAATATGGCTGGGAAGTTTTCCTCTAGTAATTCTTTCACAACTTTTTTTTGCCTTTACTTGCTTCTTCCTGTGCTGGGATTCAAATGAAGTGCATGTTGTTGCTCTTGATGTTGTCCCACACTATTCTTAGGTTTTCTTCTTTTTCTTTCTTTTTGATTCTGCTTTTTTTTTCCTAGCAGATCAGTGGTGACAGTCCCATCTTCTTTCTCTCTGGTTCTGTGTTCCATCACTTCAACTCTGCTCATGTGTCCCTCCCTCATGTTGACAGCATCTGAAACATTGGACGTTATATTTAGATTGTGGTTTCTTGTTTTTCCAGTGCCACTAATTCCTAGTTTGTTTTATCTGTATTGTTTTGGATTTTTTTTTAAGCTCCTCATGGTTTTTGCTTGCAGTGTCCTGTATTTTTTCAAGTTTGTCTCTCATCCATTGAAAATATTCAATGATTGTTCTTTTAAAGTCTGTGTCAGAAAGTTCCATCAGACTTTCTTGCTTAAGGAAATAAATTGAGACTGTGCCACCTTTTGGGGGTGACATCTTGACATCTTGCTTTGTACTTGTGTAGTGTGTGAGATAGCTTGCTTTGTTCAAGACATTGATAGGTTCTTGATCTGAATACAGTGCTCTAGAAATCAGTTGGGCAGTCCCACACCTGTGTGTTTTCTGTTGGGTTTTTGTTTGTTTTTTGTTTTGTTTTCTGAACTTCTACTCAAGGGAAAGTTCAGTTCAGGGCCTGTGAGAGCAGTCTCTTGTAGCTAAGTCAGATCAAGGTGCTCTGGACTAAGCTCAAGTTGATAGACTGGATGTGTAGGTGTAGTTTGTGTAGCTGAATACGGGGTGGGTCAGGCACAGGGGAGGATGGGGCGACCACAGGGGCAGGTCAGCCACATGCAGGGACCCCACTCAGATTTCACCTGTCCAGGTGTGCTCATGAATGTGGTCCCTACTCAAATTCCAGCAGGGGGATTATGTACCAATGAAGAAGTTTTTCCTTTGCTTTTCAAGGAGAGGAGCTAACTGGGGGTGGGGGTGGGGTGGGCGGGGAGAAAAGTGCAACAGTGAATAAATGGAAGTCCAAAAGCTCTGTAGATGTTCATTGAAATTACAAAACAAACAAACAAAAAAAGAATACTAAGCCACTAAGTATTAAAAAAAATACAGCTGTCCTCTTCTCCCACCTACCAGTTCTTGCTCAGTAGTCCCTGCCCAGCAGCCTTTACCCAGGTGTTCTCACCCAGTGGCGCCTGCCCCCAGGAGAGTCATGGGCTCAGCAGTACCCAAGAAAACTCAGTCAAATTCCCTCTGATGTACCTGTCTCTGGCCGGTCTGTGGTGTCCACGAAGACTCAGTCAAATTCCCACCACCCTGCTGTCCCCTGGGTGTTCTTCTGTGCAGTCAGTGGTGCTCAAGAAAACTCAGTTAAATCCCCATCAGCCTGCTCCTCCCTGGGCAGTCATCGGGCCCAAGAGAACTCAGCCAAATTCCAACCAGCCTATTTGCTCCTGGGTGCCCAGAAGCCTGCCCATTCCTGGGCAGTCAGCAGGGCCCAAGAGAACTCAGCCAAATTCTTTCCAGCAGGCCCTCTTTTGGGTATTCTCCCAAGCAATCGGCTGTGCCCAAGAAAACCCAGTCAAATTCCTACCAGCCCTCTCAATGGTTGGCAGTCAGCGGGAGCCAAGAAAACTCAGTCAAATATCAACAGACCCACTTGCTCCTAGTAGGGCTTAAGAGAACTCAGTCAATTTCCTGCTAACCTTCTTTCTTCTGGTAGATGGGTCCCACAGCAGCTCATCTAGTGGCTTCCAGTTTTGGCCTGGGCCAGTGGTACGGCTTGGTGCTCCTGTAGCTCCCAAATGAATTATTTTAATTAAAGGTCTGATTCAAATTCCTACTGTTCATGTTGCACTACATCACTCTGCCTTGACAGTTTCTCCAGTGGCCCATTTCTATGCTGCTCCTCCAGCTCTTCATACTGTTTTCTCCACTGGCGCCATCTTGGAATCCTCCCTCCTTATTTTAAATCATGTGTCCCCCTGCTCTGTTTGCACAATAACTTCCTGGTTCAGGTATAGGTTTCACATGAGCACAATTAAGTGCTCTGGGATTCCCATTCTTCTCAACATCAGCCATAACTTGTTATGATCCATACAACCAAATGCCTTTATATAATCAAAAAAGCACAAATAGACATTCTTCCAGTATTCTGTACTTTCAGCCCGGATCCATCTGACATCAGCAATGATGCCCCTGGTGCTGGTCTCTTTTAAACCTTACTTGAACTTCTGGAAGTTCCCTTTCTATGTACTGTTCTAGCCATTTTTAAATTATTACCATCAAAATTTTATTTGCATGCGCTATTAATGACTGTTCTATAGTGTACAATTCAGTTGTATCACCTTTCTTGTTAATGGAAACAAATATAAACCTCTTCCAATCTTCCAAATTTCCTGGTGTAGACTGTTGAGCACATCCAAAGCTGCATCTGTTAACTGAAATAATGGATCCCATCAATTCCTGGGGCCTTGTTCTTTGCCAATGCCTTTAGTGCAGCTTCCACTTCTTCCTTCATTAGCATTAGCTCCTGCTCATATGGTACTTCCTGAAATTCTTCAGTGTCGAAAATAAGTTTTTCTTGGTATGATTTTGTGTATTCCCTCTATCTTCTTTTGATGCTTTCTGGGTCATTCAATATCTTTTCCATAGCATCCTTCAGTATTGCAACTTGAGGTTTAAATTTGTTTTTCAGTTCTCTCAGCTTGAGAAATGCAGAGTAAGTTCTTCCCTTTATTTTCTCTAATTAAAGCTCTCTGTACACTCTATTATAACACTTTACTTTGTTCTCTTAAACTGCCCTTTGAAATATTTTGTTCAACTCTTTTATTTCAGCATGTTTTACCTTTGTTTTGTCTTCTCAAAGCTCTAAGACAATTTTCAGAGTCTCTTCTAATTCATTTTTTTCTTTCTCCTCTGTTTTATAATGACCTTTTGCTCTCTTCATGAATTATATCCTGTATATAAATAGTATCTTCCAAGCACATTGTTAGAAAAAGAAGAAAAACCACCTAAGTATTCAATACCTGTAGCATGTATGTAGTCAGTTGCATGAACCATTCCTTAATGTATTTGATTAAATTTATGAATATATTTGTTTTAATTTTAAAAGTATTTAAATTTTGTTATTAGTTCTGCTTGCATAAATTAATGCTTAAAAGTATGTGTGCACAGTAGTAAGAAGTTATACTGCCAATCCAAAAGCAACTGCTCCATAGAAGGAAGATGGACAATCTCCACCCAGGAAATGTATAACTTTTTAAAACCTGCCAGAAGATCAGCTATGAGACACTTTCAGCTTCACGGTACATAACAACAGTGATATATAGATAATATATTATCTTACAGTAAAATATTATTTCCACTTGTATAATTTAACTACAATGAGGCAGAAAATATTGCTATATGAATAGGAATGTTCTAAGAATCATGGTTTAAAGTTAAGAGGAGATATTTTCAAATAATTAAAAGCGCAAGTGGTTTTTTAAAAATGGAAAGTTTTATCTACAGTTAACACTGCCCACAAGAGAACATTAAAAAAAATAAACCTAGTTAAATTAAAGATTCAATATCTCTCTTGCACTACCCAGATGTCAAGGCTTATGATTATAATTGGACAGTGGAGACAAATAAGATGTGAATAAGTGAAAAAAACACACATCCTTCTATTGGAATTCATTAATCTAGAGACTAACCTGACAGAAGCCAAAATCCATCATCTATACTTCCTCCCAGTGATGTCTCTGATGGATCACAATTAGGAGGTACATATCCAACATGACACTGACAATGGAGCCTTTGGTTACAAACCTAAAATAAAATAGAAAATAAAATCATTTCATATACATCATAAACCTTAAAGGCAGTATTTGTCATTGGGAGCTCTGGTGATCTAGGTGTGAGTGGTTACATTACCAGCTGCTCCATGGGAAAAAAGATAGGCAATTTCCTCCTATGCTCTTTATAGCTTCTGAAAATCCACTGGAAGGTCAGCTATGAGTTGGTTCTAATTTGATAGTGCATAACAATAAGAACAGTTGCCTTGCATTATTTAAAACAATGTAATTTAATATGTTACAAGTTGTTGTTTGTATGCACAAAAGAGTCAGAACCAACCCATAGCTGACTCTTCAGCAGGTTTTCAAAGGAAGTAAATCTCATTGGAGTTGATTGTTCATCTTTCTTCTGCAGAGTAGCTGGTGGATCCGAACTATCACAGGATGGACAATCTCCTCCTGTGAAATTTACTGCCTCTGAAAATCCACCGGAAGTCAGCTATGGGTTGGTTGTAACTCAACAGTAAATAACATCAATAACACATTAAATATACTAAGGAGCTCCGAAGCTCCTATGTTCTGTACTTCTATACTAAATATGGTAGGGAGCTCTGATCACTTAGCGGCAGGCAGTTGTACTGCCAACCCAAAGGCAAGCAGTTTGATTTTACCAGATTTACCAGCTGTTCTGCAATAGAAAAATGGGCAATCCCCTCTGGTATGATTTTCTACCTCTGATAACCCACTGGAGAGTCAGCTATGAGTCAGTTCCCATTTAATGGTGCACAACAGTATTAGTTGCCTGTGACTCGATGGCACTTAACAATAATATCAACATAGAGAGACAGATCAGCTGGCTCAGTGGACAGAAAGTGATGCTACCAAGCCAAAGGTGGGTGACGTTTAATCTGCTGCCCCCGGGCCTGTTTTTCATTGATTTTTTTTCAGACATTCCTCTAGGTCGTATAGCCCTGGTGCACAAGTTGCCGTACCAAATTCACTTTTGGTTGCTGTGAGGCTGAACACCTTGACACTGGTGTGTCAAATGCGTTAATGGCTGGTTACCCAATGTGGACAGAGAATGGGGTGGAGCTCCCCAATTAAAACAAGCTTGGAAGGAGGAGTGGCATCCACTTCCATAATAACTTGCCTCCAGAAACCCTATGAACCTGGAGAGAGGATGAAAGGCACCTAAGCGTTGAAGACTTTCCTTCATGCGGTCACTATAAGTCGCCTGCGACTCAACGGCACTTAACAACAACAACATGAGATTGAAAATACTAATAAACAACTGTGTTCTGATTATAATGATATGCATGTTTTCATGTGTGATAGGTAGAAACAAAACTGACAGAACTCTTCTGAGAACAATGCAAACACTTAAATGACACAAAAAGATAATGCAAGAGAAGGAAGATGGCAGAATAAGAAATTCTCCCAATTTTCCACTAAGAGATTTTAAAAGCAAGTCGAACAAAGAAAATAGTCTTGTTGGAACTCATGAAGAGATGCAAAGTCACTACAGCTGAGTGAAGACTTGTAATAGTGAGTTGGTACTGACTTTTACACTGGTTTGAATGCCATCTGCAATTCAGCAGAGCAGCCAAATTAAAACTGCACCCATAACTCTAGTTTTAGATTTGCCATCCACTTCTGAAATAGCAGGCCTCTGAAAACCCTATGCACAACAGAACACACGCAGACTAACAGAAAGGGCAATCTAGGTAGAACTATCAAGTATG